ATTCGAATATCAACTGGAGTTTCGATTATCCAATAAAGCGCTGTGACAGAATAAAATCAGCAGCGAACCAGATTTTTAAGTACGTAAATCTGGCTTTGAAAACATTTCTAAGCCAACAGCCATCAGGATGACCTTTAGTTCAACGCTAGCTTCATAGGCCTAAGTATGTGTTTCACATTCTTGTGAAAACCCCTGTTGGAAGAATATATTGATTTGTTTTACAGGAAGAGAGGAAATAAATGAGTTTTCGCTGCTCGAAAAAAAGGCTACTGCATACGTTACATAAGATCATTGACTGACAAAATAATCCATCAGACGTCTATTTTCCATCACAAAAGCTCGCTGGTGTTCCAGTGTACGACCCTGAATAATAAGTAAAACTACGTTGAAGAAGGAAACATATACGTGCTATCAAGTAACACTGAAATGCTCACTTATATATGTGGCTATGGGTTGGAAAAAGCCCTGCAAAAGTTGATGGAATCTCTAAATGGTTCAACGAATCGACGCTCACCCTCACAATATGTTACTGAGAAATACAACAATATAGTCCTTAACACGTCATTCTCGACTTAAACACCCCTGAACGTCTTCATCCTTATTAACATATTAATGCTTTTTCTCTGGGATCATTCATTGTTTGCTAAAACTGAAGTATGGCCGGTATTGAAGCATGACTCAGGTTGAATGGTTTCGGGATGAAAAGACTCGAGTACGGTCGAGTGAAGGAGAATCCCCGAATGAAAGGCTGTTCATGTTGAAATTAGACGATTTCCTAAGCAAGCTTTGTTCCTTGCCGTTGAGACTGTGCATGCTAGAATCAGAGAAGCCCTGTATTTATGGTCAGTAAACCCTCTTTGTCAAGACGAGACTACCAAACACATCGGCTGATAACAAAGCTCTGTAGGTTTTGGTGGCGTTTCTTTGGATGAACCCTGAGAGCCAGAATTCATGTTTAAAATTTCAGTGATCAAAGTAGCAGACCTTCTCCATCTTTAAACTTTTCTGATGGACGAGTTGTTGCAAATCTTAAATCCGCTTGTGGACAATATCGGTTGATATTTTCTCTATCACTAGAATTGCCATAATCTTGAGTATACATTTTTAAGTTACGCGTAGGGGTTTGTGTGGAAGGGGTCGAGAGCTTATATCGTTACCCGCCGAGTCCAAAGATAAGATGTACACCGTAGAACACTCTCTAATCAAATCCCTGAAAATGCTGATCTAAAAAGGAAAAGGCAGATTTATAGTGGCAAAGCGAAAGAAGGATCGAATGAATACTAGCCTTAGCATCGAATCAAACTGAAAATAGATAAAGATCAGTATCACAAAGGGAGAAGCTCTTCAATCCTTAAAGGTCAGTTTGAAACCCTCAAGCTGGCATTAGGAGTAGGATGTCTGCATAGTACGTTGTTACATCAGCCATGTTTCAGTTTAATTTTCTACAGCTCATTTATTTCTAATTAATGAACATAACGTGTACAATCATGAATAACAATATCAAATCTCCAAACAGCAATGTTTTCAATGCCGAGATCCTTAGGCCCCCAAAATGTAAAACTGATGTCCTGAAACTGGCAGGTTGTAAAAGTTTGTTTGCAGTCGTCTCGGGATACCAAACTAGATCACAAGAGAAATGTGTCCTGCCAGTACGGTTCCAGGCAGAGCATCTGCATAAAAATCTGCTCAAAAATCGACTGTAAGTGCATTTACATCGGATTAATTCAGATTTAAATAGAAGCAATTATGTCCGTATTAAATGAAGTTTGCTTCCACTGAGAGACTTCTTAAATCAGTACATATAATTCATCTCTATCGTATAGTCAAACTTAATGCATCCTCGTTAAATGTCATATTGTCTCAGAACCTTTGTGCTGAACGTTCAAAATGTATTTGTAATGGGTCTTACGATAAAAGGTTAATAATTCACACAATTTTTTATAAGTATTAGTTTAGGCCGATTGTTTTAAATCATTTATGTTGAAGTTAAAATGCTTTTGAATTGGATTTTTTTTATTGTCTTCCAAGTATTCAGTTTATTACCGGCTGCTTTGTTTCAAAACCAAAAATAAGATTACTTTACGCAGCATCGTTATTTCTGACTGCCAAAGTAGTAATGTTAGGTTGTGTGCTGGAATGTACGAATGCAATTATGCCGAGGTCTACAAGCGATTCCTGTGCTCAGATAGTGCACTTTTATTTGTGAAGAGTCCCAAACGAAATTATCGCCCCATTCACACCAGAACAATACCGCTGTTTCGGCCACGTCGTAAATGATGTTTTCGGTGGTGGATAATTGCTCCGTCAAATTTCTCCAGTCCGCGGGTGATAATGAGATTCGACCGCGGACTCAGTATGCAGAAATCGAATTAGGCTTGAGTGCGTGGGTGTCAGTACACTACAGCACAACCAACTTGGTCTCCATTGGAAGAGCCTTGTAGCCAGGTTTTTCCCAGCAAACCAGGGTGTCCTGACCCTACTTCCAGACCCCTTTTGTCAGGGAGATAATTAGAAGAACCCACAACAATGGGCACAATCGACCCTCCAAGACCTTAAAAAGGGGGCTTTTTGGATCCAAAGCTTGCTTTGTTCGCTTGGCTTTTGTGATCCTTTGGGGGTCCAGGAGTAAAGCTGATTATCGTGGAGGAGTGAAAAATAGAGGGGGAGAAATTGGGCCCAGTGGGTTGCCTACCGCAAGGTGAATTACCGGGTGGTATCAAAGGAATAGGTGTATCATCAAAGCCGGGGTGTGATAGTAGGTTTTTAACCACCACATATCCCACTGCCCTCGATGGCCAGAAGGAATTGCTGAGTAGGAAAAAACAAGGAATACGCCCAATCCGGCAAATTCTATGCGTGTTAACTTTACTTTGGTTTAACGGAGTAAAGTCATATAGAGGCTGAGGGACATCATGCAGGGTAAAATTGATGAGTTAGCTGACACAATTATAATTAAACGTGAGTTTTATGTTTTGGGAATGTAATTACTGAATTTAGTTTTTAACGACAGTCAATTTGCTCTTGGGTGGTTACCGTGAACGTGTAGGCCAACAATGCAATCTTACTTACATTGATTTAAATGCATATGCTACGATGACCCTAAAATTTAGAAGTTTTTCTGTTATTTTAATTGTCTTGCGCAGTAAACGAACTATCTACAGTTGAAAAAAGCAGATGTAAAGTCACAGTTATGCATACGAAGAGAATAATGGGATGACTGGTGTTATGATCATGGTACTGATAAAAGGGATTTAAGCGGAAAAATCAGTGACAGTGTTTTGAAATAATAGTGAGATTGTTTTGTTTTTAAATTTAACCATAATATACATTTAGGTGTCATATTCAACATCACTTTACCTCTTTTCTATTTCATGTCATTTTCATGATGAATGAAAATAGAATATAAATTACCTCGGACAAAAGCAAGACAAGTATTTATCCTAAATAAAAGCTTCAGTTTCATAGCCGGTGGACATCAAAGTTGATTTCTTACATTATTTCTGAAAACAAATCTCAGTTTAATTTCCAAATGTTACCTAGGTTTTAAGGTGATCCAGTGATTTTCTCAGAATATGTACACTATTTAGAATCCCTAAAATGTGCATGAGTGCCCAAAATTACGTCACAGTCGAAGTGAAACAAATCAAAACAAATATGCATGTATGTATGTCTCATTATTTCAAAGGCATGTATAATGAAATTGTTAAACAAACTGGTTCTAATAAGTCCACCATAGCCACCTCGTCAAATACCAAACTAAATCAAACGAAATACACAGCATAAAGATACAAGTAAGTACAAGTAAACTTAGCATGAATAAATATACAAAATAATACGATTGTTATGAGTTGATCGACTCCATGCCACTGTGTGACTGAAGCAATTTCTCCCCTTTCCACAGTTTCATCCTAATTGACGCTATATCTGTTTTAGTTCGACGTGCAATGTTTAATTCAAATACGCAGTTACTGTAGTTCATTGAAAGTGTTTGTTAATCCCACTCATATACCAGTGTCTTTAATGAAAGAAAAGAATGATATGAGGATGTAGCAGTGTGAAATGTTTAGGGGATAGAATTATTGTAAAGTGCGTATATTGCATGGACTAGGCCCCTAAATTCATTTACCGGTATTAACTCTAAAAGTTGTTGATCTTGCTTAGTTTTGTGCAGTATTTTTTTCATTCTGCAGAGTTTCAAAGAATCTGTTCACAGTATTTTTTCTCAGCTTATTGCCATGATAATTTATTTTTCTCTGTATCTATAAAGCAATGATTAGAAAAAAGGTAGGCAACGTATTTGTATAATGTATTGCATCCTAGTTGTAGCACTTTAATTTATTGTTGTACTACAAGAATTCGGGCCGAAGATTAATAAATTATGCATTTCCCAGCAAGTTGTTCTAAGTAATACGATGGGAAAAAATGAATGAACTGTGAGCACTTTTTAATCGGCCATGGAGAACATAAACAATACATTCCCTAATAAAATCATGCAAATCTAATCTGAAATACAAAAGTCAACAACAAACGAACGTGTAATTTCCATGAAGTTACGAGAGGTTTGAAATTAATTGAATCTTGAGCGGAATAGTGAATTTCTTAAATAGGAGGAAATATGACTGAACAAAGGACAGGCTTTGCATGGACAAGAGCATACACTCAACAGTAAAGTGCTCTCACGTTATCAATATCAAGCCAGCCAAAGGCATTGTCCTTATCTCTTACCTCCATTCGTAGGATTCAATTTGTATATCTTTTCTTTTCGGACTGAATACCTACACATTGAATTCGCTTGTTTAGTAAGACTTTGTGTGGCTCTTTCTTTGCCTTATTTCGCCACCTCAAACTCCTTTTCAACCCCCAACCCCTCTATGGTTTTTAGCAACAAATGAAGAAAAGTATTTTTGTATCGGGCGCGCAAAGCCAATAATACGGGTTTTCTCCGCAAGGTTCTGCGTGCCTGGTCGTGTGAATGCGCTATACACGCTGTGATATTGTATGGTTAGGGTCAATACAGTGGGATAATTCTCACAAAGCATAGCCATGGCGGGCTTTATTTTCCCTGAATAACTTGCAACGATCGAGTCTTTATTCGTTATTCTCTTTTCAAATCGTGTTTCTTTTCCCTTCGAACCAAAGCATTATACCAAACGGTTGTTCCGAGGGCTTCCCAGTGCAGTTGTTAGCCATGGATCTATACGGACGATTCTCGTCAGCGCGAGAGAAATAAAGCCAACCAGCGGGTATTTGTGGTGCTGTTTTTGCCGGGCTTGGCCCGGGTAACATTTCGGGAGAATGACTGGCTTACCGTTTAGACGGAAGGACAGAGATTCCTGGTCGGTTTGCTAATGAGGGTATGCCGATCGCCTGACGTCACGGAGTGATTGCTAGTTTTCCGTATGCGTGTGTAATGATCTGTGGCTTACAAATACTTGAGGTAAGGGGGAAACATTTGAAAGTCCAGTCGCCATTTTCTCAGCCAAAATTCGCTTTTAGGTATTCCAGCACGAAAACCCCGTATATGTCGAAGAAAAGCGAATAAAATCAACCACTGATGGCCTTAGCAGGACTTTGTTTTTGCAGAAACATTTCGGTCAGTGTTTGTTTGGGTTTGTGTTAAAGCCGTTAAACCTCCCGTGTCCTCACATGTTCATTTTAGTTCGTCGAAAAATCATTCTTTACGCAATAAATGGAATTTCTGTAGGATTTTCGGAAACAGTAGAAGGCCCACTCTTCGCGTCATTTCATTTACGCTCCTTTTTTACATTTGTTGTGAAAAGGGATATCAGAGAGTTATAAGTTTTTATAACTAAAATACATATCTCCAAGACAGATGGTTGCTTGGACATCCGATCTTACGTCTAAATTGTTTGTTTCTGAAATCATCTCGCTTCTTGGTGATATGTCCTATTTGCAGTAGCGATTAAACTTCCCCTGAAAACAGTCGTATGACTCGTCAACCCTTTAGTGTCTCCATTTCTGAGTAAAATGGCCATGTGGAGGTTACCTTACCATAAAAATGTAAGAGGTCAGTCTTGATTACTTTTAGATGGTATTAACTGTTAGCATATACAAAATTTCGTTTGTAATCGTAATGTTTTGTTTATGAGCTTGTACGCTTTCGTCTGTAGGTTGCAAAACAGTTTTACAGATCAACTCCCTTTATTTGAATCGAAAAATTTACATCACATAAATCTGAAATCAGTTTGATACATTTGTTTGTCAGGAAATTTTGTTTGAGAAAACGATTCGCATCACAATGTTAAGAGCCGTCTATAGCACTAAAACCATGTACTCAGCTCTTGGTTAACTAAATTAGTGTTTTTATTGTTTCATGACTGGAGAACAAGAAGACGCGGATTTTCAATTACATACCAGTGTTGCACGTCAACTCTCAAGAGAGAGGGACGGATAACCTGTTGACAATTTGGTAGAAATGTCCTGTAAAAATTAGATTTAAAAAGATTTTTTTTAAAAGTCAAATGCTTTTTTAGATCGCATGAGAACGTTGTTTGTCCCTGTAAAAGACATTCTACTTGAGCCGTGTTTTGGAGTCAGAACCGGTACATTATACGTATTTCATGTTGCATTTCTTAAACCACATGCTTTTTGACGTCAATGGAAATTTGGATAACTTTTTTCCCAACTCTTTTTTTTCCATTTGTACTTGGTCTTAGTGGTTGGCAGTACAAACATCATTTCAAATTATTTTGTTCTCACATACACATCAAAAATGCACAGAATTGAATTAACATCACTATATCTAAGTTAAAACGTCTTTTGGATTAAGTTGAATGCAGATTCATTAAGCCATAGTTTCCGCAGAGTTTCAAAGTCAAATTTACATTTTCGAAAGTGTACAGTGCTTTATATGGAAATGTGTGTTTTACTTTGTATACAGGGAAACATCTTGCCCTGTAGTGAAAATGGACAGATCCGCTGTTTTATCTGGGACAAATCAAGGTAATGATGTTTTTGACAAGTATAATCCTTGATTGATCATAATTATGCGAACCCAATTTTCTCTATTTTAAATGTTAAGTTATCTCAATAAATGTGCTTGAATAGCTGTGGTTATAAGGTATCGTCTCCTTGAAGTACCTGTCTTATTTTATTAAAATGATCCGTTTAGGATTAGCAACAATTTAACCAATCTATTAGCTCAAAACACTAACAAACCCTTTGAAAGTCCATCATTTAGAACAAGTTGTGTTATACATCTTCTCGAAAACCTGTTTCTTCAAAGACTTGGGAGGACAGGTGATAGGTGTACAACCATGAATAGAGGAGTATAAAACATTCTTTTTCTATCTCAGTATTGGTCAAATACGTGAAAAGAGGAAGCAAAATGCGTGAGTCTGAACCTAATACTAGACCTACGGTTGGATTGGAACCGAGGCCGGAGAGGTTCAAGATATGGGTCTCGCAGCCTGTCAATCCTCAACTAAAATAATGTCTTGTAACCTGTCCCAGCCAGAATAACTAGTCTCAAAGCAATCATGGTTGGCCTCGGGTTTAATAAAAAAATACCTCGTCCCCAGGGTTTTAGCTCAGCAACATCCGTGACACGCGAGTGCTACAAACGGCAAGCTTGCCATGAATAATTGCAGTGAAATGAGGCGACCAAAAGCCCATGAGACGGCATGTGGGGCCGTGTAAATTTGCTCATATGAACTGTTCATTTAGGGATGATGAGGGCAAATTAGTATACGGGGGCTAAACGTGTGTGACAATCCTCTTTCAGTCGTTGGTTCCTAGACTCCACTTTATGTTATTTATTACTGGGCTTCGATAAACGATAAAGGGACTTCAAAATATTACTTACTTCAGTCGCCTGTTATAAAAACAAAATCCCCCCCCCCCAAAAAAAAAAAAAACCCGGCTTATTGTGTCCGGCTCTTCACCCAAAAGGTTGTACATACTTGGAGGACAAGTATAAAGAAAGATCTAATAGCGTTACCGTTTTGTATTTCTCTTAGTTGTAATAAAAGAACACTATTTAATCAGTGACAACATTGTGCGTGCTATCGAGGATAATGCATTGTGTCGGACGATAATGACAAAGAAATACAAAATCCGTATCACCACTGATTACCAAAACTATGAATGAAACCGAATGAAACCAGCAATATCGGACAGTTCCTTTGGGAATTAAAAAAAATCAAAAAGACTTCAGGTCTTAATAGCCGAGTTCCGTTCAAGCCAAAACAACACCCTAACGGCTTGGCAATGGGTTTGGGTACGATAGACCAGCTGCCCCAGTATACCGCAGTGTCCCGCACCGTAACAGCCGTACTTTCGTACTCATTCAATTCATGTGAAGTTGTTCATTAAGATGACAATCATGTGCATGATATACCTTGTGGAGACGCAGGAGAATGGCTTGAATATGGTAGTTCTCCACAAATAATTTCTAAAAGTGTATAGGTCTCCACAAGGATTCCACGAAACTAGTATTTCGAAATCGCTCAAAAAGGAGACACTTGTATTGTGTAAGAATTTGTCGCAAATTGAAGTGTTTCACATACGGGACATTCGGTCGAAATTTCGGTCCAGGAGAGTGATTCATGTTGAAATGGGAGCATTTTGAAAACATCTTTTCACACTTGACCGTGTTAGTAAATTCTATTACAAACACACACGCTGACCGTTTGAAAAGGCGGGGTATCTCCGTGCACACAAAGACAAATTTCGGAATGGTTGAGGCAAAATCAAAGAAGAAGACCTTTATGTTGCATTCAGCAAATCGACAATGGTCCAAAATGAAATAGATCAATGTATTTATTTCTGGAAAAGTTTACGTAGCCCTCCTAAAATATTCTTAACTCAACTATATTAATCACAAAACTAAGTACTCTGAACTTTGTTGCGAACTTTGTTGCTGTTTGTTAGTCTGTTAAGTCAGTTATTCGAAGTTTTGAAAAAAATGTCTCGTATGGTTATTTCTGCTTGTTATGTAATTTCGTTTTGTCTTGTTTGGCCGTAGTTGTTACCAAGATGGGGAACGAAAGCTATTCTGCTTCATATACATATGCCTCACGTCGTTTAATCATCTTGTTCGTATTACTGTGCTAATGTAGATTCGTTTTATTATATATTTTTGTAAACCAAATCTTGTATTGTGATAATTAAGTACCAATGTTGAATAAATGTTCGGCAATTAAACTTAATTGATAGCTACCATTTCAATGCACATGTTTATGTTGTACATGTACTCATGTACGCATACAATATCCCCTGATAACTGTATCAAGTGCGAGTTGGATGGCATAAGTGGGTCTTTTTCTTATCATACAGTTATCAAGAAATGGGTAAATTTGTTTTACGATCCCAGTTATGCTGACTGATTATCATTGACTTGCTTAAATATAAGCAAATTAACAAGAATGCAAGGAGAAGTATGCTTGCCTTGGGTGAGCCTTCTTTAAAGTACTGTGAGAAAACTTCAGAGTATTTTCGACATGTAATTGAACATTGAGCACATGTGACTCACCACATGACGCTCGCGGCTCCCCCTTGCTCTGTTTTTAAGTCGATACATCAGCCTAACGGGTCTAAGAATGATGACAGCCTCTGATAAACCAGTGTAATATTGCAGTGTCTTTATTCCGTCAGACTGATGTCTACCATCTTTCACAAGACACGGTAAGCTGTGTACCGCATCCGTGCACCTTTTAGCCCGCTGTCTTCTTTCGGAGGTGGGCGAAGGGGATAAACCCAAAATTGAATAACCGGGAAATGAAATTGTGTCGGCATACTTCAAACCCTGGCCCCTGCCGGGTATTGCCAGGTATTGATCGGCAGCCGAGTTTGCTTAAGGTTTATCGACTGCCAGGCAAAAGACTGAATATACTGCTCAGAAACAGGGAAACAGGGGTCGCTTGCCCCGTAGGCTAAATACAGTGCGCTTGGTCAGGGTCCAACACGGCTGGCCGGGTGGAGAATGAAGCCAGAGTTTACCAAAAATGTTGCGTTGTTTGACAACTGATCTTGACCGGGGGTGGTTAGGATTTAACGAGGAATTCATAAAAATCAAGCCATGCAGGGCATCTAACAGGCAGGGGACTAAACTCACCTAGAAAACTGGGTAATAAATTTACCGTGGTTCTCGGCGCATTGGTTGTATTTTTAAATTTTTTGTTAAATAAATAAATCTCAAAGTGTCTACAGCTAGTGTCTATCCACACTGCAGTTACTTCTAACTGTAAGAAAGCGTTGACCTCTGCATCAAGAACGCACGTGCTATTATTCAAGGTACAAGGTATTTGTTGCTTAAAATTTACTTGATTACTGATCATATTTTCAGCATGCATTTATTTTAATTTTTACGTCGCTCGTAAATCGAAAATACGGTTGTGCAGTTATTAAGTGAAGGGTCAGTGTTGAATAATTTGTAATCGTAATTGTCAGGCACTAAGTAAAAGATTTAGGGTTGTTAATAGGTACACTGTCAAACCTCTCGGATTTCCCCTTACAAGATACCGGTAGACATTTAAAATGTTCAGTTAATATCCTCCCTAAGTCCATATAAACTAATGCTTGGAGTGATACTTTATCAAAATGCAAGTCAGTTTTGACATGTGAAAATAAAAAAACAAAACAAATGCAGTCAACCTTTAGGAAAGACCTGACAATTTTTTCTGGACTTGGCGAGTTTCTCCACAGTGGTAAAAAATGAACTTCTACAAGTGGTGAAACATTAGTATCACCGAACAACTAGATCCTATCTGCAGTTTGAACTTAAACTGAAATAGGAATAAGCTGCTTCATAATGTATTTCCGCATATGGTTTCTGTCATCTTCGAAAAAAAAGCCACTACAGCTCCCTCACTTACACACGAAAAATGGGCGTTAATTAAAGTATATTGAAAAAAAGTAAAGTATATTTAAAAGTTTATGCTGTACATGGTTACATAAGACACTATTGCCGAATATATTGTATGCTGTATGTCCACTTAAACACAATTGAACTACCACATGACTAGGCTATATACTGTCCCACGTCAAGTATCTCACATGCATGTTTATTCTCGAACGTGACTACTCTCCCACGTGTCCACCCTTTTACGTGAAATATTCCACATCAAGTTTCCTAGCATACTTAAAAATTCAGTAATGTGTTTGATAGTATCACAACTTATTACAATCGCAGTATTACAATTAAAGCGAGATAATTTCAAGCTATAATTACACCAATAGTCTTAAAATAGGGAAACTAATCACATTGGCAACCATCAATGACAGACGTTATCCGTACCCCAAACTCGCTCAACGTTTTATTCTCTCGCTTGAACTTTTAGGCAAACAAGTTTCATTGACCTCGGGCCAGCGTACTTCGCAAACAAAAGGTTTTATTTTTCCCCGCAGGAGAAAAAAAATGAGTTGATTTCTCCCTGAACTGCAAAAAGGTATAGACGTCCGCGTAGTGGGTGTGATTTGTTAGGTTTCTGCCTCCATGCACAAGTACTTTATTTCATTTGGATGGTACCCCTAAGGATTTGGCCCAAGCAGGTTCGGGCGCATTTTGTATGGGTCACTCGCCCTAGTGGTTTCTGTTTGAAAGAACAGCCCATCGACTCCCATCAGTCAGACCCAAGTATGATATGGGAACCAAAATGGCTAATAATGTTGTTTATCTACCCATTCAAGCGGTATTTTTCTTGCTAAAACGTCTCTAGGGGAACCAAACTGAACCAAACTGAACAACGGCCTACCAACGACCCACAATGTTGTAGGAGGTCAGGGCAAAACAAAGTGCAGCAACACACCCAGTTAGTGTTTTTCTATAATCAAATAGGGCAGTAGGCCTATGCGTATTACCCGTTTGAATTCAAAGTTAAATTGTTGTTCTCTTTACAGTCGGGGTTTTTTTCTACAAATTTTAAGGATCGTTTATGTCCTGTTCATTGCTTGACAAATCAGATAATTTTTACATGTACATAAGTATGTGTTATATTATCTGA